GCTTGAGAGTATATGTTTCCAAATAAAAGTCCCCGTCCGTACACGCTACTTGTTAACTCGGGTACATTCCCGGGTCGTGGTATTGTGGATCGCCGCTATTGTGTTGACAGTCCCACCCAGAAAGGGGTGCACAATTACCTATGTTTTCTAGCCTAATCATGTGGAATTTGGACCACCGTTGTATTAGTACTTTATCGAACCGTGGGACCAAAGTAGTGAACGGGCTACTTCTGGTTGTTYKAAAATTAATGGGGCATATTGGTCAGGTAAGGCTCAGTAGCGTCTCAAGTGTTACATCGCGAAGGATTTACATTTATTAAGTGCAAAGAATTCGCATAAGTTTGCTATTACTTGGTTTATGAATTGAAATGTTTTTGTGCATGTGAAAAACCCGTGAGCTCACCAACTCTTTGTAGTTGACCTTGTTTTTTTTTATTTCCATGCTTTTCAGGTTCTGAGTAAGTGATTGGTTTTTAAGGGAGCATACCTGGGCCAAGATCGATTAAGTCAAGTTTTTGATGTAATTATAAACATTGTGTATTATTCTAACTCTCGTTATGTCGATAAATCGTTTTGTTTTGAAACTTGTAATGGTGTTATTTATAAACTGTTTCTATGACCCGCTTGACTGTTAGCATCCCGTGTTTCCGCTTTAGCGGGGTGTGACAAATTTGGTATCAGAGCCTCAGGTTATAGAGAACGCTGGTTTTCTTTAGAAACCGTCGACTATAACTTAAAATTTTCCAAATGATTTTCATGAAATCTGAAATTTCTGTGTTTTAAAGCGGATCATATTGTTACATATTGCTTAAGCAAAGCTTGATCACCTATGCTTAATTTATATGTAATGAGAAAAACTTAATCGATCTGAACAAAGGTTTGCTCCAGCAAATGAAATATTTTTGAAAAGTCTGAATCTTGTTGCACTTTTATGAATATCCGTTTCCTAGGACCAGAGGCGCTGGTCAAGAAGACCAGATGCGCTGGTTAAGAAGACCAGATGCGCTGGTCAAGAAGACCAGAGGTGATGGAAATTAGAATGCTCAATTTCTTGTTAAGTATCCATGTAGGACCAGAGGCGCTGGTCAAGAAGACCAGAGGCGCTGGTCGAGAGCCGATGAAGAACCAGAGGATCGATGGAAGAATTTCTTAAGAATTTCTCTAAGTATAGATATTGCCACAGAGGCTCTGGTCTCGCAACCAGAAGCTCTGATAAGGGCGAATAGAAGAACCAGAGGATCGATGGAAGGATTCGTTAGAG